CGCCCCTTACTCGATCTACCACCTCTCGGTGAAGAAGAGCTCCTGCGAGCCGCGCGCCGAGCAGGAGACTCAGCCCCTGGACCTGACGGACCCGTACTCCTGGTGCACTTGCAGTACTCACCAACCTCTCGAACCACATGATCCGCCACGGCGCCCCCCTCGACCTCAACCATGCGCTGATGGCCATGCTTCCCAAGGGTGACGAGCCCCTGGGCAATGCCGAAGGTGCGCGAACTCCAGCCACTCTGCGCCCTCTCAGCATGAAAAACAGGGACGTCAATATTCTCGCCTCCGCGGTCAACTTCACGTCAGCCAGACTCGCCGCCAACACAGCAGTCGAGCAGAAAGGTCTCGTCGCTCATCGCCAGTTCCTGCACGACGTTGTCCTTGTCGACGCCGAGGCTCGCAAGCTCAGCGCGTCCGAAGGCGCGGACGCCCGCGTGCCGATCTTCGCCTCCATGGACATAGCCGCAGCCTCCCCATCATTCAACCGCAAGTGGATGTGGACCCTTTTTCCCCGCTGGGGTATCAGCGGCGACATGTGGCGGCTGCTCCAAACATTATACTCCAACCCGGTGTGCTTCCTGGCGCTTGGCGGCGTCATATGTCATGCGCCCGCTGCTTTATGCAGACTCAGGCGTTGCACAGGGCTGCCCCCTCAGCGGCGCCATATGGGCGCTCATTTTCGACCCCGTGATCCGAGCTATCGCCAACGAGCTCAACGCCTTCAAACGCGGACTGCTTCATAGGCGTAAAGACATACAGTTTCTACTTCCTCATCTACTTGCCGCAGATCAACTCGCAGGGCCCCAACTACGCGCCAAGATGTGCACCATCGCGCCGGCATGGGCGCTTCCGACACCGGAACTGCTCACCAACATGCAGACCGTCCTCTGCACCGTCCACCTCCCGTGGCGCAACTTCTCGGTCGCAGAGAAAGCGCGCTACCTCGGCATCTACGTCGGTCCTGGAGCCACCCAGGCTGACCAATGGCGTGCTCCCACGGCCAAGTGGTGGGACCGCGTCCTCGAGCTCTCCGAATCCCACTCGCCGCTCCAACTGAGCATAAAGCTGTGCAACATCGCCGCTGTCACATGCCTTTCCTACGTTGGGCAACTGCACGACCCCCCCGACCACCTCCTCGCGAAGGAGCACCTGGGCATTCACAAACTTCTCTGCGTCGCCCCCAACAGCGTTTCCAAGTCCGACGTATTCGGCATGTCCTCTTGGACCCGCATCGAGACTCCGAATGACACCGAGCTGCTCCTCTCCGCCACGCTCTGGAGAACTTCAGCCAAGACCATCAATGGCTGGAGCGTCTGGTACAACGCCCTGCGCGACGCAGCCTACGACCGCCTCAGCATCGTCACCGCCGAGAGCGGGCGTTGGTGTGCCGACTGCGGGGCCTTCCCGACATCCATCGTGCAGCACTTCGCGGACATCACCGACTCCGCGTTCTTCGTCAAGACAGCGGGCTCGCACTATAAGCGCCTGGTCCGCACCCTCGGCACCGTCCCGTGCTCCGTTGGCGCCCTCAGGGCTGCTCATCGCCACGCTGCGCGCTGCGGCTCCGATGCTCTTCTCGCCCATGGCCAGGATGAAGTTGTCCCCAAGCGCTCTCCGCAAAAAAGGCGTACCTGCTGGCACTTCATGAGCGTTTCCACCCCGACACATTCCACGTGACCATCAAGAAGCGCCTCACCGCCTGGTGCCTTCGCCCACCTGTCGCTGACCGCCAAGATGATACGGACGTACAGCGCGCGCCCCTCGCGAGGGAGCGCCTCGTGAACCGCGCCGCCCACTGGGCTGGATCATGGCTGCCCGACATCCTCCTGAATAACCGCGACATCCCCAACAAGACGACTGGGACAACTGGTGCGAGGAGTACGTGAACTATGTCTTTGGTTTCGACATGTTCCAGCCCCTCTACCGCACGCGCCACATGCGCAGCCTCATCGCCAAGGAGATCTGCACCAGCGCCTGGCGCACGACCCACATGGCGCGCAGCAGACTGGAGCTCGCCATCCTCGGCGACATGGGCAGCGACCCCGCCCGACTACGCCGACAGGCCGGTCTTCGCCGATCCACCTCTGCCGAGCTCCGTGCGCGCCTCCGATGGGCACGCAGCCAGCGTGCCCACTTTCCCGCAGAAGAAGATCCTGGCGGTCAAGACGACGACTGGGACCACGACCCCGACGCCGAGGTAGCCGAGAGCGCGCCCGACCTGATTCAGCTCTCCGCCATTCCAGATGACCTTCAAGAACGCTGTCTCCGTCTCCGCAGGTACTTGGCGACCCAGCCGCCCGCCCGTGCCTGGGCAGTCCTCAAAAAGCTGGCTGGCGCCTGGACAACTACCGAACGCATGCACGTCAACCCCGAGACCCGCCAGTGCATCCTCGGCTGCAACATGCCCGACGCGATCAACCACTACCTCCAGCGCCCTCGGCTGCTTCATCACCTGGCTTTCCCTCGCGGCAGCCTCAATGCAGACATCGTGACCAGGCTCGGCCCCCCGCCCATGAACGTTGGTTACGACGGAGAGAACGGCATCAAGAGCTCCGCTATGCGCCTGGCAGTTTCCACAAAGGTCTACCACATGATGAAAGACAACGTCGGCTTCGACCCGAAGAAGTACTAAGACGCCACGAACGCCGCCCGCCATGCTCTCCGTCTTCCCTCCGATCTGAGCGGAGGTGCGGGGCGCTCGGCGGCGCCGCCGCGTGGTTAGGCGCGACCAAACGTCCCCCTCAGGGTACGTTCGCTCATCCCCCTCCCCTTCCACCTCGTCCTTCCTGTTCCTTCTCCTCCTCCTCCTCCTTCTCCTCCTCCTCCTCCCCCTCCCCCTCCCCCTCCGCGTCGCAGCAGGGGCCGCAGCGGTGGATCTGCCAGCCCCCTACGCTATCTGCGCTATCACTTTATAACATGCTTGTTCGCTCGCTTGTACCACGCTGCGTACCATCACCCTTAGGCTGTTTGCAAGTGCAGTGGGCCTTGGTACGACCTCGCACATCGTCGCAGGGGGGCAGGGGACCTTGACCTGATCAACAAGCACTTCAAGTCCAGTGGAGGATTCCCCCTCTCAAGGAAAAAACCGTCAGAACTGCTTAAATCACCCACTCATCTTTGATCTGGCCGGGGATCACCTCTTCCTTACTTGCAGCATGACGGGGCCTGGGCTTCGGCTGCTTCTCTTCGGGTCCCCTGGGACGGAGGGAAGAAGGCCACGGATGAGGCGGAAGAGGAGGAGGACCAGCAGCAGGAGGAGCATGAGGAGGAAGAGGAAGAGGACAAGGAGGAGAAGGAGGAGGAGGAGGAGGAGGAGGAGGAGGAGCGACGTTCCCCTTCCCCCCCCTTCCCCCGGAGGTGCTAGGGGGCATGGTTACCCCGCCCCCTGGGGGGATCTTCCGTCCGTCGTGGTTCTTCTGTTGTTTCGGACGCGGATCTGTTTCGATCACCCCCGATGACCTCCCCCCCTCCCCCCTGCCAGTGCCCCTCTCCGTCCTCCTCCTCGTCCTCCTTCTCCTCCTCTTCCTCATCCTGCTGTTCCTCCTCCTCCCTCCTCCTCCTCCTCCGCCTCCTCCTCCTCCTACCTCCTCCTCCTCCTCCTCCTCCTCTTCCTCCTCCTCCTCCTCTTTCTCCCTGCCGTTGCGTCCTATACCGTACCTATATACTACTAGCCCGAGGTTCTTCGCGCTTCGCGTATTCTCCTGCGCACTTTTCCAATCGCGCACTCTTGGTTGCCAGTCGCGCACTCTTCTCCACACTCGTCCTTCGGGATGCTCGGCTCTGCCGGCTGGCAGGCCCCCAGCCGAGAGCGCCCGCTTCTAGGGATTTGTTTGTTGAATTGCACGCGTGTTGAACCATCTGGCTGTCACGTACACACTGTTCAGTTCTTATTATTTGACAGTTCTTTGACTTTGGGGGGGGCCAAGATCCTTTCATTTCTAATTGTTCTACCCTGGGCCTTTTCCTGGCCACTGGAGGGCCAGGAACAATTAGAAACGAGCACAATTTTGAAATGAGCAAGATTAGAAATGAACGACGTGTATAGGCGGCGCTGCAGTTAGCAGAGTGCTTACAAAAGTCATCTGCACGGGCACCAAGTGAACAAGTTCAGAACAGTAAGTCCCACCGACCCCACCAAGTAGAAGAGTAAGTCCCAACGGTCCCCCATGGAGGTGGGGGGGCAACGTCGACATCGACCTTCATGCCAACATCGCCAGCGTCAGACGGAGCGGACGAGACTGAGCACTGCGTGGGCCATTTCGTGTTCTGCGTCGGACAATTCGAGACGGTCGGTTTGTCGGGCAAAATTGTTCGGATCGAAAACCTGGGGAAGGGGTCGACAGGTCCAGTGGCCCACGCATTCGAGACACTGGAGCGCCAGAGATCTGGGTCATTCGATTGGACCAGGGACCGCACGTGGAAGCCCCCTTTAGCTTGTATGCGAAACAGATCAAGAGCTCACGCTCACAAACCAAGCGGCCCGGGTAATTCCGCTTGATGTTTTTGCAGACGGAAGTGGAAACCGTCCAATAGCGAGTCGGCACAAGGGTATTCGGAATGATCAGAGCGTCGGCAGCGGGGAACTTTGCATTGCAAGGGACCCGGCAATGCAAGAACTGAGAGATGCCGAGTGAATCTTCAAGCGAATTCGCGATCATGGCGCGGTCTGAGGGCCAGGTGTGGAAATATCTAAGAGAGCCCATTTCTGAATTGGAGCAAGGACGCCGAGCCTGCGCATGCCGTGCTGAATCATGCGCAGTCGCACTGAGCACCTGTCCAGAGTCGGACATTGTTTGTCGGCACCAATCTGGCCTTCTACGAGGAGGTGCGGGCAGAAGCAGCAGCTGCAGGATGGTGGTTGGGGCGAGCGCTGCCGTCGTCGTCGTCGTCGCCGCCGCCGTCGTCGTCGTCGTCGTCGTCGTCGTCGTCGTCGTCGTCGTCGTCGTCGTCGTCGTCGTCGTCGTCCGCGCGTCGTGGGAGCGCCAGCGATCCAGGCGCCGAGCGCGCTGGAGGCGGGCCGCTTGCCGCGGCTGCCGGTGCCCTGTTGCCCACTTCGCGCTTCTGCTCGGGGTCCGATGCCCCGCCCCGCCCGGGGAGCGTGCGGATCTGCCGGCGGGGGCCAGGCAGCGAGCCATCGACGCTCCACCGCAGATTTCCCGGGTCGACGCGTGCCCCCCCCCACGCGTGCCAGCCGCCCCCCGGTCGTTGCCCCCCCCACATGGGCGACGCAAAGATCGGGGGTTCGTAGAGGGAGGGTTATGATGGGCTTGTTTTCCACCACCAACACCACCACTATAAGTTGGAGAGGGGGGGAACGCGTCGACCTCCCGTGGCCCACGCATCGCCGCCAGGGGCCTCAGAGTTCACCCCGCAGTCAGCCGCGGATTCGCTATCCGGGGCCTACCAGCGTTCTGTCGGCGAGGGCACCGCCGATCCCATCGGCGACGTATTGCCGACTCCGGGTCAATGTCCCCCCTCCCTGGGCCCCCCCCCTCTCTGTCCCCCTTCTTCGCGGGGGGGCAGTCTTCTTCCTCCTTCGCTTCGAGCTCTGCGTGATTGCGTATAGGGGCGCCCGCTACGCCTGTGCACGTTGCGAGGGCGTGGACAGGCAGCAGGTGGCAAGAGCAGCGGCAGCCGTCCAGAGCCAGGGAAGGCAAAGGGCGGAGAGTGAGCGAGAGGAGAGAAGTGTCCTCTGAGGTTGATACCACCCTCCCGACAAGCACAAATCGTGTAAATACTCATGGAGTCCTGGAGTGTTGTTCAGCTCGCTGCGAGGGTGCATTGAGGCCAGGTGGTCATCTCACGACCCCCTGGTCTTAAGAGGGTCTCTGGGTCATATGGCCCCCCAGGGGGCTGTAGGGTCTCCAGTGTTGGCGGCAGTGACCGCCGAGCGCAATGCCTCGGACGAGCTCTGGTCGGGGGTCGGGGGCGAGGGGTGCAGGGCTGAGTCTTCCAGTCAAGTTTTTGTATGGGAGGGCTGTAGGAGCACCACCCTGCTAGGTCGATGAGTGAGCTGGCGCCCTTGCAAGTGGGTGAGTGCGCGTACTGAAATCTGGGTGTACCGATGCGCGATGCCAGGTGAGGCGGCCCGCAACAGTGTTGGAACGCCCCTACACCGCCTTGGACATAAAACTGAAAACACACAGCTTGAGCACGAGCGGTTTTGTATGGTGCGCGGGAGCATTCCCCCTGTCTCCTTCTCCTCCCTCCTCGCTCTTCCCTCCATGATGTGATATTCGTCTGTACGAAGGAGGGTCTGGGGCACCCAGGGTTCCCGCTCCCAGCGGCCAATTCTCATCGTTCACTGGTTGGGATCAGGTGTTGGCTCCCGCTGTCGTCCCGAGGTGGCCCAGGTGACCCTCGCCCCCAGTGCGAGCGCTACTTGGGAACTTCGCTCAGAGCCCCCCCCCTCCCCCCTCCACATGCACAGTCGAAGAGGAGGAAGGCGGTAGACGAGCGTGGCAGGGCTGCGAGCGCGGTCCGCCCCGCACTTCGGGGATTGCCGCCCGCATGCACCTTCAGTCAGAGTGGCCGCGGAGGGCTGCGGCGGCTTTGGGAGACGGCGATGCCCCTGCGCCGCCAGCGAGGACGACGACGAGCAGGACGAGGAGGGCGATCACCAGGAAGCCGGACACGCATGGCGCGGCCAGCCTGGGCGAGAGCCGGCTACACGTGGGGCCAGGTGCTTCTCGGGCGTGCGGCCCTTCTGTGGACGGGCAGGCAGGGCCTCCGCATGGGCATCCAGCGCATGGCCTTCCAGATGTTCCACAGGTGTACAGTGGAGACCCATGCCAAGAAACACCCTGCTCGCCCCCAGGGTGCCCTGGGTTTCTTGGGTTTCGATGGTTTTGCTGTGGAAGGCGTGGCGTGCCCACACTAAAATTCCGTGGACGTCCCGGGTTCTCGGGGATGGGTTTCCCGCGGAAGGTTTCTTGTGGTCAGGCCCCTGCTGTAATCCAGCCGCGTGTGCTTCCAGCTGCCTGGCAGGAGTCCAGCTTCAGCTAGCCACTCGCTGCGCGCCCCGTGCCCCTCCCCCCCACGAGGCGACTGTCACTGGGTCCCGCCCCGCCGCCCCGCAGCACCACATGCTCGACGGCGGACGAGGCTCGGGGGCCTCCGCTTTCTGCCCCGCTCCGTGCCATGGGGCGAACAGGTCCCCAGGGGAGCTGGTTCTCAGGTCTTTCGTCGCTTTCGGGCTCCTGGGGCCCTCCACGGGCCCCACGACTGTCAACAAGACCATCGAGCATGAATGGCCGGTGCCTGGGCCCACGACCCGCTTCTCTCGGGACCCGGTTCTGTCATGCTGAAGTTCGGCTCTGGCACCCATGGTTTTGTCCGTCTTTGGCGCGCGTATGTTTGGCTAGGGCGCCCCAAACAAGGCATCCAAGGAGCCTCAGCATGGTTCCGCCAGGCTTTGTTGGGGCTCTCGGGCATCCACCCTGAGGCTGCCCTGGATATTCCTCGTGGATGCCTTGGGCGCCTTCCTGGCGCTTTGCTGAGCGCTTGCAGCAAACATGTGGATCCACAACTCCGCCTCTCGCACAAACATCCCCTCTAAGGCTGCCCTGGTCTCTTTCGAAGTCTCCCTGCGCTCTTTCTTGGCCTCCTTCTCGCGGCCTTCCCACCACCTACCGTTTTTTGTCTGTTACCTCGAGGTTGAAGCCGTGGTGTCCCGCGGCGTCCCCCCTGGCCGCGAGACGCTGTCAAGGGGGGTGCCCAGCGGTCGTTCAAGGTTGAAGCCACGGTGTCCCGAGGCGCCCCCCCGGTTGCGAGACGTTGTCAATGGGAGGTGCCTTGGGGGCGCTCACGGTTTGAAACGTGTTGTCTTGGACGCCTCCTTGGGCGCGGGACGCGGTCAAGGGGTGAGTGTCAAGGGGGGCGTGTCCTGACGTGCCCTCTCACCACGTGTATCATATCGATTGCGCCCGTGCAGCCGCATGCATGACCCGTTCAATCAACATACGCTTGCGTCGTTGTCTCGCCAAGGTCCAGGGGGGGGGGTCGAAAACAGTGTCCAGAGGCGCCCAGAAGCGTCCGACGGGCCCCCAACAATCCACAGCCTGCAGTCGTACGCTGCCTAAGCCATCCCATCAACGACCGCCTAAACAACCACTTCAGTAACACACTTCCGCCTTCATCCCATCTCGCCCAGTCGTCCAGCGCAGTCCATGCATCTCAACACCCAATCCAACGCTTCAGAAAGCCTGAGCACCCACGTCTGCACCCGTGCAACAACATCCGTGCCACAAAGCAGCTTCACACCTGCATCCTTGTTTCGCCACGAGAAACGCACATGCATCGCGTACGCTAGGGTGGGGGCCACGCGGTTGGATCGGGTGATCCGCAACACGGACAAACTTCGTCAATCCATATTCCGAAGATTTCCTGGCCACGTACACGACGAAGACGCACGGCTGCAGGACCTTTCTCAGGAGCCCCCAGGGCCGAACATGAGCGTTCCAGTTGGCAAAACGGAGTTGCCTGCCACTCTGCCTGTGTCTTTCGATGGATCTCCACGAGCGCTTCACCATCTATACCTGAAAGCAACGGTCTTGGTCGGGTCCCACGGCAGACCTTACCCGATTATCGCCACGGCGCCAACCCAGAATGGCCAGACATAGTGAGCAACCTCAGGCCTGGCGAAACTGCTGCAAATCGGCAATATCTGGCGACCCGCATGTTTCGCTCGGCTCTGCTAGAGCCCTTGCGCCTTTTGACGCGGACACGCATCTGCGGCAAAATCAAAGCATACGCTCGGGCTGCCGGGTTCCAACAGAGGGGCTTTCCACACGCGCACATCCTCGTCATACTGCATGGCAGTGACAAGCCGCGAACAGCATCTCACATCGACAAGGTTGTCTGCGCAGGAACACCATACCCCGATGCACAGCCTGACCTTTACAACCTCGGAATCTGAATCTCGACTGTTCCTGCACCTGGAACGAACTGCGTGCAATAAGGTCTTCCAAGCGTTGGACAGACGACGCGAATTCTAACGTGAAGGGGTATCCTGAGCACAAGTGCCGCGCCAACAACCCTTTGTTGCACTGGTAATCATGGCGTGCTTGACGCCCGCAGCGCCGTCACCTACAATCCCTACCTTCTCGGACTTCTCAACTCCGATGTAAAAGTTGAAAGTTGCACTTCCTTACGGGCTGTGAAGTACCTGCACACATGCACACGCAAGGGCCCCGACCTGGTGTCTGTCCCTCGAGCGGGCCAGGAGTGAGGTCGAAGAGTTCTTGTACTGCAGGTGCGTCGGCGCCCTGGAGCCCACTTGGGTGCTTCTCGGGTCCCCCCTACATGGGCGCAGCCATTTCGTCGATAGGTTGCCGATCCACCTTCCTTGCGAACAGGTATTCCGCTTCCGCGAAGTGGAAGAACGCCTGGCTGCCCAGGCGGCCGAGGACTGACACGTCAAACTAGAAGCTTAGATCCGCCTGAATGCCGACGCTGCCTCTGCAGGTGGAGTTGATCCAAAACCGCGTTTGCATTGTCTTTGAAATATGTTGACCTGCCGAAGTACGACCGCTGGGGCAAGAAGAGATCACGGTGGGTCCGCCACAGGAAGGCCGCTGAACATGGCGCCGCCATCGCCCGCGCAGCGCGGCCGTCGGCGGGGGAATTGTTCTACCCTCGGCTGCTGCTGTTACGCGTGACCAGTGAAACCGCGATATGTTGGGAGACGCGCGCCGAGAGCCTTGGAGACGTCTTTCGAGCCACCGTACAAGAGCACGCCCGCCGAGCGCGCGGTGCGCGACCCTGCTCTCGCCGAGTTTTGCTCGGAGCCGGGCCAGGCGCCCACCCCGGCCCGCCATCTGATGGTGCGTTGGGTGGGCCCCTGCCGCGCACGGCCCAGATTTCTTCCGACACCTTTTGCTCCCCTGGCCGGGCGCCGCGGGACCTGCTTGTTTGGGCGCGCGGGGGCCGCGCCGACGTGGGGCCTGCGCGACGGTCTCAGTTCTGCACCGCGCGCGCGGTTTTCACGCCCGGAAATATGACCGCTGACAGACTGAGCACCGCAATGTCTGGCCGCCCAGGCCCTGTCATTGACGTCCGATCGCTCAGCCACGACACCGCGTCAACTGCCAAGTCTCTACAGTCAATACAGACCGCAGGCGTGCCACCTCATGACTTTCGCCTTCGTCGAGGATCCCTGGCCATTCGCCGCGGGAATGTCTCTCCGCGCCTGGGGGCTCTGCATCGGCGCGCGCTTAGCAGTTGGGTGCACGCGCACATACTTCGCAGTAGTCCGCATCGCCGCTGGCCCCTCGCCAGGTCAAGTGGGTTTCCTCCCGCGCATGTGTTGCGATTCGTCGGGCGAGTTTGCGTTGCCGCTCATGCTGCGTGACCATCCACATCCAGCCAGTTGACATGGTAAAGATTAACCCCCCAGTCCATTGGCCGGCGTCTGGGGGTCTGCCCGCCTGCCCCGGCATTCGCGCGCAGACAACTGCGCGTCGCATCTTCCCGAGGAGCCACTGCCGCGAGGCCACTCCCGACGCAGGGAGCGACCGCAGACTCGATGTGCGAAGAGCTGTGCGTCATCGCCACCAGCGTCGTCGACCGCGCTACTGTCCGCGGCGACTGGTCTTCGTCCGCGAACGGCCTCACTTGGAAACCGCGCGGAACTTGCAGCGAGCCCCGCTGCGTTCGCGCCCGCGCCCGCGGCGTGCAACCGCTGCCCGCCGTGTCTGCCGACGGCGGGGCTGCTGATTCAGAACAGCAGTTTCAATGAACCTGCAGCGTGCGCGGACTCCACGAGAGAGACGCCAATGGAGCGACAGCAGAGAGATAGGGCCTCGCCGCAACGACGCGCGCGGCCTGCCGCGCTTCTGTCGAAACCCTCTGCGCCCCGGGCCGCGCGCGCGCGCCGGGCGCCGCGGCCCTTGTGGACAGGGCGACGCATCCGTCTCACATTCTGAGGCGTGGCTCCAAGCGGTCGCGCGCCACGAGCGGCCGCCAGGGCGCGCCGCGCGCCCCGCCCGCGGCAGCCCCGCCGCCGCCGCAGCGACGCCCCGGGAACGCAGGCCCCGTGGACTTGGGCGGGCGGGAGTATCAGAACCCCACGCTCCGCGACGAGCTCCGCAACGCAGCCGCAGTTCCACTGGACTTTCCCAATGACGCCAACCTGCCGTCCACAGAGCCGTTGCAGCCGTTGCCTTCGGCACCCACCTTGCACGGCGCGCCCGACACAGGTGCGACATCGCCATTCGGCGCACAGAGAGCCAGCGCGCGTGGCCTCCGCGCCTTCAGCCACGCCCTCGCCACGACGTAGCCGTCCCAGGACAGTCCGTTCCGAGCCGCGGCGTCGTTCCGAGCAGACTGCCCAGTCGACGCCGCTGTGGGGTGGCATCGCCAACCATTTGGAGCCCGACATTGGGAATTGCGACTAGCCGCTTTGTCGGCGACTTTCTCCAACGCTGGCCTAGCCACGATCTTGTTGACACCTGCACATATCGAGCCGCGACTGAACTCTCTTTTGCCAATCGCGCCACGCGTCTGTTCACTGCATCCGCGCACCCCTTCCGAAAGCCAATGCATGGAGGTCGCTGGTTTGTCGCAGCGGTGCCAGGCGTCCACGCGGACACGCGCTGTAACGCAATCCCTAGTTCTCTGCGAATCGATTTACACACGTCTGCACTGCATGCCAAGGTGTGATATCAGCAACATGTTGGTGACCTGGGCGCCGGAGCTTGCGTGGGCCTCGTCAGGAGACGCGCATCAGTGCGAACGGCGTGGCTTCCCCATGGGCAACGAACCCAACATACGTATCACTGGGCCTTCGTGCGTGGCAGGCTGCGCTCGTTAGGTAGTGGCTTTTGCGCTGTAGCGGGCAGCCTTGAAAGAACAGCACCGCGAGCGCATCTCCGTCTTCACCCTTGCTTCAGCTCGCCTTCTACACGACATGCCCCCCCCCATGTGAATCACATGGCCCCCATTCCTTCTCCCTCCTCGCACCTTCAGCTCATCCGTAGTTGCCCACCCTGCGGGCAATGACCTTTCATGTGTGATATGTAGCCACTACTTTTCAATACTGTCCGCCCCTTCTTTTTGGAACGCCCCTGGACAATACTCCAATAATGAAAACAGACACGGGATCCCCCCAAGTCCTTCAAGGAGAGAAGTTTGTAATAGTCCCCAAAAGACGCAAAAACGATACCCCAGCAAACCTCGACATTTTTGCCAGGATGTATCGCGACGTGCACCTGCTGTTGTCACGAGACCCCTGGAGGTCCCCACAAGGCCCTACCACGGCAAGGCGACATGTCGTCCCCAAGGGCGCCCGACAACATTTTGAATGCGTCACCACGATCGTTTTCACGCCTCCAGGCGAGCTCTCTGATAATGTTATTGAAGAGTGATTTTCTCGGTGTTCCCAGTGGACCAAATGCGGAGGAGGAAACGAAACAGGAGGAGTCAGAGGAGACCAGAGACCAGGAGGAGGAGGAGGATGAGGAGCAGGGAGGCGGAGCTGGTTGTGCGGGACCACGAAGAGGGAGCATGAACCTCCAGAAGTTGTTTCTCTGGTAGCTGCTCGGTGCATTTGCTCAGTGCAGCAAGATCTCTTGAGGCCTGCTCGGTCATTCATTCCTTGACTCCTGAAGCATCCATCCAGAACTACGCTACCATACTCGGGTGATCCTTGCGGGACGTTGTCCATCCCAATTCGATCTTCTGAGGTTGGCTTGGACTGCGCTAGAACCTATAAGCACGCGCGAAGCGCGCGTAGTTCGAGTATCTATGTCCACTGCCACCTTTGAGTTTCGGGCTCCCTTCCCCGCACATCCGAGGCACTGGATGTGGCTACAGTTCTGGCCCCGGGAGGCTGGATGTTTGGCCGTATCAAACGTTTCTTGGCCTCTTGGCAGCCTTTCCCAGAAAGTCCCACACGCAGGGGAAGCGGATACAAATCCTGCCCGCAATTAGTACGCGGGCTCTTCTGGCCGGAGGGTGGGGCCTCTCCGAGGCGCCTCCGGCTGGCCTCTCGCCGCGAGCGCGGCCGCTGGGGCGGCGTCGGATGAGGCGCGCCAAGGGGGAGGGGGGTTGGCAGGTCCGCCGTCCGCCAGTGGGGGCTGCACTCGGGACGACTGCTCGCGCGCGGGAGAGGAGTGGAAGAGGGATGCGGAGGTGTACGTGGGGATGTGGAAGCAGAGCCAGCCGAGTACCCAACGACAACGCTGTAACACACAGTGCGCTACCTGTGCTTTACAGCTCGATCCACACATACGCTCAGGAACTCTGGGATGGCGCGTCGCGCCGCCAGTTCTGGCCCACCACGCTCCGGCGCGACATGCTGTCCACTTCGCGGCCCCCCATGGCCTCACGTGCCGAGCTTTTCCGAGCCTCTCGGCCCGCGGAGCAGAGCGACGCACACTTCGCTTGCGGGGCACGGCGTGTCGCCGCGGCGGCTCTTTACGCCAAGCTTCCCGACCGTGGGAGGGTCAGGGGCAACGTCGGGAGAGGATTGGCTCAGGAGGGAACGCATCGATCCCCAGTCGCCCACTCGTCGCCGATGGGGGGCCCGATAGCTCGCCCCGCCCAGGAGGATTCGGCTTCGCCGTCGGGAGCCTATCGCCGATCTGTCGGCGATGGTGTATTGCTGGTTCCAGGCAGATGTTGCCCCCCCCCTTGAGGCAGTCCCCTCCCTGGCGTTGCCCCCCAGATGCAGGCTGGAGGATGCATGAAGTCGCGCGGAGGCGAAGGTGAGGGGGTGCAGGAATGACGAAGCATGGAAGAAGTGGGGCGTGGGCTCAGGGCGCAGGAGGCGGAGGGGGAGGTGGAGAAGGAGGAGGGCCCTCCTCCAGGCAGAGTGTCGGCACGTTGGTCGGCTTATTGTTCCCCCATCCTTTGTCGGGTAATGTGGATTCAGCCTTGGCTTCTGCTGCTTGCAACTGACAAGGGCCCACGTCGTTGCTGCTGGACGCGGCTCGAAGCACTTGTCTGAGCTGTCTTCAGGCGAGCACAGGAGACGATTGTAATTGAATTTCGGCATTGCCGTTGTCGCGAAGGAGGACGAGAGGAAGCCACATGCTGATAATTTAGCAGGCGCTGTGGGGTATTAGCGTAGTCTGTGCGGTCTTACGTACATGAGATCGACACGCGTATACAGGCGCACGTGTTGTTCGGGAAATTGATGTGCGTGCAGGTTGAGGTTCCTTGTACATTCCAGGTGCTCACACACTCACATGTGTTGTGGTTTTCGGGGCATTTGTTGGCTCAGGGCATGGTCAACACACGGGGACTATGGTGTGCAGGTGTACTTTCAGGCGTGGGTGTGAAGGTGCAGCTAACTAGTTTATGCAATGTTTTGTTTCTAATTGGCGTATCGTTTCGTCGACAACTCCGTCTCCAGCTGCGTATGCTGTGCTAACACGATTGCGTCACGAATCGATGCCGCACCAAACACACAACATGTTATGAAGTTACGAACGCATCAGCATCCACATCTCAATGGGATCTGTATGGGAAATACGTAGAGCCAGCCGAGTGCACAAGACAATGTTGCAACGCATAGTGCATCATCTATGTTTCACACTTCGATCCACTCGTACGGTCCAGAGCTTTTGGTCAGCGTGCCGTGCCGCTAGTTCTGGCCCATCGCGCTTGGGTCAGACACGCAAACCATGTCACCATCTCCAGGCGTCAGCGTCTCGAGCTTTTCCTGTCCTCCGTCCCGCGGAGCAGGGCGACATGCTATCCGCTCGCAAGGCATACCCTGTCGCTTGGGCCGGCGCCGCGACGCGCTGAACAAGGGTTCCGGACCGGAAGACCGCAGCTGTCCTCGGCAGCGATTCCGGTGGACATCACCCGCACCACAGCTGCTCCAGCAGCTGTGGACAGTGGCCGAGGCCAAGTGGGTACGGGAGTGAACCAGCCGGTGACAGCGGGCGAGGTGGAAACAGCTGGGGACATCAAAGAGGGTCCCCAGCAGCCAAGAGGCGGCGGGCAGGGCCGTGGCAGCGGGAAGCAGCAGGCCGGCCAAGACGATGCCAGGCAGCAAGGGACAGCGGTGACAGCGGGCAGGCTGGGGACAGTTGGGTTGTGTGTGGGCGGGGGGGACAACGGTTGACTGCAGAGAGGCTCCCCGGCAGCCAGGGGCCGCTGGCGATGGAGGGTCAGCCGTGAAAGAAAATCTCCAATGGCGAGGAGCAGCTGGCGAGGCGGAGCCGATCTCCCCATCAGGGCACACCCGTAGAGCCGCTTCGAAGACTTGAGAGCAGTGGCTGGCATGGGGGACTGCAGTGGTACAGAGAGGCGCGTTGCGCTCCGACGAGGAGGAGCGGAGGCCGGGCCATCGGGGTCGTGTTGCTGACGATCCTCCGTCAGGAGGCCGACTCTCGCAGATGGAGCGGCCATCCGTGTACGGCGGAGTCGGTGGGCGACGTCTCGCCCGCGAGCGTGGTGGTGCTCGTGAGGGACAGAAGAGGTACTAAAACCGCTGCCCTCGCCTTGTTTCCACCTGTTTGAGCCTCCTGGGAAGCCTTCGTCGCCACCTCTGGTCTGGATTCGCTTCGCAATTCGGGTCAGAACACACCCTGTGAGAGAGCGGTATTGGAACATCTTGGTTACGCTGTGGACGTGCTAGGCTGGCTACGGCGCAGGGGATCAGGTCAAAGAGGTGATCATGGAGCGGCAGGAGAATGTTGCGAGGCAGGTGTGCCATGGAGCTTCTCAGCCGCCCGCGATTTACAAGTCAGAACAGACCACGCTGCGATTCTGTGCCGCTCCCGAGTGCGGACAGGGCCGGGCCTGAGTTGCCTCAGGCGGCTGGCCTTTTCGGGGTGTCAGGTTGCTCATGGCTACCACCAGGCAGAAGCGCGGCGGAGAGGAGCCCCATAGAGGCTTTGAGAGCGGTCTTTGTGCGAGCTGTGTTTTGAGCATCCTGCGCGAACGTTGTGTAGCACGCGGCATATAGAGAAGAGATGAGTCGAGGTTACAGGTCTGCGCCCCACATAGCAGGCAATGCAAGGCGAGAGATGGTGACGAGCAGCTGCGATTACTCGACATGGATCCTGTATTCATACTTTTGCGTGCGGTGGATGTGCGGCACTGGCATAATTTGGCGTTGCCCACGTCGTTGCATTCACACGCCCTGTGCGGAACATACTGATCGGACGTGTGTAGACGCTTGGTTTAATTTCGTCCGTATCCGCGTACACATGTCGATGTAAGTGTATGCGCCGAGCGCAAGCTCGATCTTGCTGAATATCGGACGGGCCTGTAGAATCAACTCAGGCCTGTATGTTGCAGTACATGTGTCATAGCAGTCCCGCAGCAATTGCCTGGAGATACCAGGCAATTGCTATGAGCTACACGCGGCTCGAGGATACGTTGTGCAGAGGCCTCGACGGGGGTTGTCATACATTGGCGAGCACATGCGTTTCTCATATTGCCAACAACTCTTGGTCGATTCCAGGGAGCAGCCTGGCGCGCCGCCAACTCGCAGCAGCCTCCGCACCTGCATTATGGGCACTCACAGCTGCAGCACCAGCAGCAGTGGGCGCAACACCAGCAGCATCAGTGGCCGCAGCAGCCGCTGGACCTGCGGTCGCTGGAGCAGGCTGGACCCGACAATGAAAGATGTGCCACTTCCAACGTTTCGTTGCCAAGTTCCGCAGCCGTACCATTGCAGCATTCTGCGTGGCGATACCCAGGCGGACAGAAGTTGCAGCACATTCCAATTCTACTCCCCGAGGGACTCTCATGACGCCTACATGGGCTATCTTGGGGGTCTCTTTAGGCTGTATTGGGGGCTTCTTGGAGCCTTATTGAGCCTCTTGGAGCTGTCCTGGCAAGTCTTGGGCCGTCTTGGGGTCTTCTTTGGGTCGCCCCAGGCCGTCCGGGCGGTCCTCTAGCTCTAGGGCCCTCAATGCATTCGTGCTGCTTCTGTGCAGCTGCTCGAAAGCACGTTCAGAACCACCTTGAGTCCAGCTGACTTTGCAACGCAGAGAACGTTTCTTATATGCAACGGTGTCATTCGGCGCCTTCTTGTTGGATGACTACTGATACAGTCTTGAAATGTCTTGGTGGCCTTGGTTGCCTTCCTGGGCCGTCTTTGGAGCACTGGGTAGCGTTGGACAGTCCCATGGAGATCTCGGGCAACCCAAGATAGCTCGGAAGGGGTGGGCGATGCATGTGCCTGAGCGTGAGCAGGCGAGGCGCGGCCATAGAAGACTTGCAGAACTCTCGCAGACAGCACTGGGTATCTTACGACACCCCCCAACGTGCACAGGGGCGCGGGGGCTGATTGTGTACGAACGATGGGCCCAGCAGGGGTGCAATCAAACTTGAATCTGGCAGTTGTGTACGTAGACCTTCTTTCGGTTAGCAATTAGCCCCGCCCCCCTTGCTGGCGGCCGAAACCTCCGACCTACTCTAGATCCGCCTGTGAACTCCTGTGTGTGGGTACAGTTGGAAAACCATGCCAAGAAACACCCTGCTTGCCTCCAGGGTGCCCTGGATCTCTTGGGTTTCGATCGTTTTGCTGTGGGAAGCGTGGCTTTCCCATACCAGAAATCAATGGAAATCCTGGGATCTCAGGGTCGAGCTCCTACTGTATCACCCACGAACTCAGTATTTCAGATGTGCAGCCACCCGTGGCCTGTTGAGTAGTGAGAAAACCTGGGGAGTGTTGAGAGCATTCCATAGCTAAGATCGTCCTGGTTGCTGCGAGTGTGCTGCCATACGTCGATTCAGCAGAGTGCTTCGTTAGAAGCTTGAACCGACTTGGGTCTGCGGCGGGGATTTCAAAATTGAGATACTCAACGCAGCGACTATCGAAACCGATGTCTTATAATTTGGCAAATGGAAAAGTTGGAAGCCCACAGCTCTTCTTCAATCTTGAATTCCCTACAAAGGAAAACTTCGAATGCAGTTCGAAGCTCTCAATTTTGGAGCTGCGGATTGAATGTTGTCACAGTAAATGCTGGGGTTGCGGATTGACCAATGAGAAGTGATACATAATTGTTGTTAATGTTGTATTGCTGTTCAACCCGGAGAGGTCCGAAATTACTATTTGAAGTGTCAGTTTTCCTTCCCGGCGCAAGTGTACTTCATATGTTATTGCTTGCTCGTTCTCATCAAGTGCATGCCCGCTCTCGCGCGACCCTGGCGGGCGAGGCAGGTGGGCAAAGCCTACCAGGTGAGGCGGGGATGTGAACGTGTGAGGCCCTATCGTCTCTGATCGGGCAAGCCGGGACGAATGGGCGAGGCGGGTCGGGCGGGCGGGACATTAAAAGTGTAGGGTTTCATGGGGTCTGGTCGAGTGGGGCGGGGCGAACGGGCGGAGCGGATCGGGCGAGCGAACATCAACCCAGTGTGTGTTGGTAGAACCCTTCATATGTTTCAGGGTGTTTGCTGCTGGCTCCAGGCATGGGGCCACCCATTGCCGCCCGTTGCCGCCTCGTTGCCGCGTCGTTGCCGCCTCGTTGCTGCGTCGTTGCCGCCTCGTTGCCGCGTCGTTGCTGCCTCGTGCGCTGCGTGGGTTGTCTGCGTAGCATACACCGCATAGCTTCCACCTCCGAAGGGCGGAGCCTCACTGTCTGAGGCCCACGCTGGCTAACCTTGTATCTTTTGATCTGCCTCCTGCCTGCCTGCTGTCTCCGCCCGGATCCCCTTCCGCCTGCCGGCCCGCCCAGCAGACCCCAGCTTCCCCCTTGCGCGTTCATCGTTGACAGCCTGCTTCTCCCCTCCTCTTCCCCCTCCGCCGCGCAGCACAGCCTGCACGGGACCAGCGTGGCGGCACGTAGGGCTCCATCGGCGCACCGCCTCGTCAGCTGCTCCGTGAAAATTGCCCCTCTGGCTAACCTGGGCCGGAAGGCGTCTGCCTAATCTCGCAGGCGAGTGCAGTCCCCAACCCCCGAGCTCGGCCCGAAAACTTTGGCCCTTCAGACAAACAGAGAGGCAGCCCTGGGATGTATCCAACGGGGTCTATTCGGATGCGCCACTATCGGGGATGGGCGCCCCCCCATCGTATCCCAGGCTCGGACCCAAACTTTCAGGTCCAGTCGAGAACCTCCCAGAGCCTCGGACCGGGGTCGACCTCTCCCCTGTTGTCCTCCTGTCTCCGGCGAGGGCCACCGAGGAGCATCTCGGGCCATCTGGCGAGAGAAAAAGCGGACGCACGACGCCGAAAAGTTCGCGGGGAGTGGACGTCCGAGCGATGGCGAGGGTTATGCTGCTCCCATGGTGCGTAAGGACCACATCCCAGAAAGAATTCAGAGCACCCCGAAAAGTGTATCGAAACCGCGTCGAACGAGCATCGCCTCCCAGGGCCCGGCACGCGAACACCCTCCCGCTTCGGCACTCTCTTGGTGCTCGAGGTTCTTTCTGGTGCTCCAGGCAAAAGCGGCCTGGAACACCATACGGCGAGAGGTCGGCCAGCTCCTCTGGCCGACGTCGGGCCGCAGGGCGCCTGCCTGCGCCCGCATCCAGCCAGGGGGGCCACCCCGGCGAGGGCGCGCCGCGGCCCGCCCGCGGCCATGGCGGCGCCCGTCGGCCCCCAGCTCCCGACGCCTGGCCCCGCCGCGCCGCCCGGCGCGGGCCCAGGGCAGAAGGCCGCCGTGGTGGGCCTGTCTTCCACCACCACCATTAGTTGGAGGGGGAAGGAGGTGGAGGGCGAGGACGAGGACGAGGACGAGGAGGAGGAGGAGGAGGAGGAGGAGGTGGAGGACGAGGAGGAGGTGGAGGACGAGGAGGAGGAGCTGAGGAGGAGGAGGAGGAGGAGGAGGAGGAGGAGGACGAAGAGGAGGAGGAGGAGGAGGAGGAGGAGGAGGAGGAGGAGGACCTCCTCCCCCTCCAACTTATGGTGGTGGTGGTGGAAGGCATGCCCATCACGCTGTGAAGCAAAACGGGCCCTCGAGGGATACCCTTCTGTCCTCGAGGGACGGACAAGGACACACACAGTCGGTGCTCTTGGAGGTTCTGTGCGTTTTGGCCGGCGGAGAGTCTCGTGTTCTTGAGGGATGCTCTTCTGGCCCTGGGTTCGATTGCAAGGGCACCTAAACTTTCGGAGGTCCGCGCGGCTGTCTTGGGTCGGCGCTGGAGCCTGGCGGCGCCTCTGGCGCTGCTCCCGGCTCGCTCCGCGCGCCAGGGAGGGGGCGCCAGCGCCGATCCAAGAAAAATTAGCATGGACCAGCGAAAGTTGTGTGTTGTTTATGTCTCGTTGTTATGTGTATGTTCATCGGTTGTTATGTGTGTTCAGTGTATGTTGTATGTGTGTGTATATGCACATGTGTTTGTTTCTGCAATGTTGTTTTTAGCACTAATCTTGCTTATGCTTTGCGAAGGCCTCACGGCCAGCGCCGCCGACCCTGAATGGCGACGACGACGACGACGAGCGCTCTCGGGGGCCTCTTGGAGGTAGTTTGGGGGCCTCTTGGGTAGCTCTTGGGGGCCGCTTGGAAGCCTCGTTGGGGCCTCGTGGGGCTTCCTGGGGGTCTCTTGGGGGTTCTTGGGGCTTCTTGGGGGGGCTTCTTAGGGACCTCTGGGGGGCCTCCTGAGAGCTTCTCTGGTCGAGGGCTCGAAATGTCCGCTCGGGTCCCCCGTCTGGGTGCCTCCTTAAAGCCGTCTTGGGGGCCTCTTCAGCTGTCTTGGAGGCCTCTTGGTCGGTGTTGGGGCCCTCGTGGGTCGTTTTGGGCGTTCTTGGATGCCTCTTGGGCCATCTTGGGGCGGTCTTGGGGGCTTCTTGGCCTGTCTTGGAGCGTCGGGAAGCTGACAAGGCGAGAATGCCGAAATCTTTCAAACATCTACGGGAGATCAATGATTCTATAGGCTTACGCCACATCCGCCGACCCCTCATCTTGGCGGTCTTGCCGGCTCGCTTGAATCGGGCTGGGGAGTCGTGTAGGGGTCCATAATGACCTCTCTTGGGGCTCGAGAGCGCGAATCCTTTTTGTGCGCAAACGCAACCCCGCCACCGTGCCGGGGTTGTTGATATGAGACTTGTGCGGTGATCGTTGGGATCTCTTGGGGGGCTTCTCGCGGGACTCTTGGAGGCAGTTTGGCTACGTGAGCCGACGGAAGCCGGGAAAGGCAACAATTGCAAACATGTTCAATAACGCAATGGAAATGTAATGAAATGCGTAATGTGCGCCTCTTTCAGATGTCCTGGGGGTCTTCTTGGAGACTTCGTGGGCGATAGTGAAAGCCTTTTAGGCCGTCTTGATGCCATCTTGGGCCGTCTTCGAACTGTCGTGGGCCGTCTTGGAGCCATCTTGGGCCGTTTTGGAGCCATCCTGGGCCGTTTTGGAGCAATCTTGGCCTCGAGAGCGCGAATCCTTTTTTGTGCGCAAACGCAACCCCGCCACCGTGCCGGGGTTGTTGATAGGAGACTTGTGCGGTGATCGTTGGGATCTCTTGGGGGGCTTCTCGCGGGTCTCTTGGAGGCAGTTTCGAAGCCTCTTGGGGGCCGTTGTGAGGCCGTTTTGGAGCCTCTTGGGGGCTTCTTGGGGCCTCTTGTGGGCGTCTTGGGGGCCTCTTGGGGCCTTCTGGGGCCGTCTTGGGGCGGAAGGCTCGGATTGTCGGTTCGGGCTCCCCCTCTTGGGCACCTCTTGGGGCCGTCTTGGGGCCCTCTTGGGCTGTCTTGGGGGCCTCTTGGGCCGTCTTGGCGCCCTCCTGGGCCGACTTGGGCGCCTCTTGGGGGCCTCTCGGGGCGGTCTTGGGGTGCTCTGGGACCGTCTTCAACGCCGTGAAGGCCGAGAAGTAGTATATGATCAAAATGTACGTTTTCCCATAGGAATTTGACGATTTTCGGCGCTTCGGCCCTTCTGAGGACCTCTAGGCTCGTCTTGGGGGCATCTTGGGCGTCTGGGAGCGCTCGTTTGGCGCCTCGGAGCTCTCGTGAGCCGTCTTGGAGGAGTCTTGGGGCCTTCTTGGCCCGTCTTGATCCCCTTTTGGGCCTAAAAGAGCCCCGTGACGCGCTCGTCGTGGGCCCGGGGGGGGGGGTCAAATCTCCGGTTTGGGGTCCCAGGGGGGGGGTTAGGGGGGGGAACTATCTCACACGCCTAGAGACCCACAAGGGGTCGGCGGATTTGTATCTCGTGGGACCTTCTTGTAAGTCCTCTTGGAGGCCTCTTGGAAGCCTCTGGGGGGCGTTTTGGAAACCTTTCGAGCCGTCTGGAGGCTACTTTGGCGACTTGGACCGATACTTCGACGATTCGGGGCTCTCGAGGACCGCATTGGGGGCATCTTGGGGCAGTTTTGCCGCGTCCTGCGGCTTTTCTTGGCCGCCCAACCGCCCGAGGGGGAGTCGCATCTGCCCCGAGACCCCCCCAAGACTCTCCCCCGGGACCCTCCCAGGACCCCCCCCCCGGGACCCCCCAGGGACGTCACCCCGGGGACCCCCCCCCCCCGGGGGAAGGGATCAAAGGGAAGGGGCTTCCCGTAGACTCAACTACAACGGTGCTCAATTTCGCTGTGGCTGGTGCGCTCGAGGAGGAGAACCTGGTGAAAGTGGGGGGAACCGTTACGGGCCTAGGGAAAAGGTGGGAAGCGAGCGGCGAAGGCGACGACGACGACGACGACGACGACGACGACGACGACGACGACGACGACGACGACGACGACGACGACTAGTCAAACGGAACAGCCTCTTCCACACGCCGACAGGGTCGGCGGACTTTTGTCTGTTTCTCGATGTCTGGGCGTTGCATTTTATTCCTATCGGGTGTTTTCGCCCAGTGCCGGGCCCTGTTGCCCTCACAGATGGATCTGGTTCGCGACATGCAGCAGAAAGATGGGATTTGGTGCTCCGGTGGTCATTTCTCACGGCGTTGCACTTTCGTTCGCGTCGTCGGATCTCGGTGTCCGGGTCCTTCGCCGTTTTCCGGCTGGGGGCCTTCCAGGAGGGTCGGGACCGTCCAAAAGTTGTTCAGGATGAAGAGCTGGTCCCGGGAAGGCCCCTGGGTCCAGGACCCGCTTCACTCACGACCCGCTTGCCTCATGCCAAAGAAGGACCCGTACGGCAGGGAGGTGCTGTGGAGGAAGCTGCGAAGGTCGGAGAAGACAGAACGGCATGAGCATGAAATTTCGGAGGTCCATGCGCTTTCGCGGTTCGGCGCCAGGCCCCCCTGGCGGCGCTTCTGGCGCCGCTCCCGGCGCGCCTCGCGAGTCATGGAGGGGGGGTGTCAGCGCCGACCCAGGGAATCCGCGCGGACCTCCGAGAGTTCATGTTTATGCCGTTGCGCCATCTTCTGCAAGGGCCGCGTTGAGGAGGCAGCATTCCATCCAGGTTGCGGACTCCGACGGCGAGGGCGGGGTCTCGCGGAAGGCCAAGCGAAAGGGCAGTGACAAGCCGCGGTCCAGGAGTCGCAAGAAGAAGAGGTCGAAGAGCAGCAGTTCGTCCTCCATGGGCGTCGCGGGCCGCATGCAGGCTGCGATCAGGCCAAACGCGATGCCTATGAAGACGCTCGGCATGGCAGCGTACGCCGACATGACCACGGGCGGTTTCGGGATGCTGCCGTCTGGCTACAGCAATGCTACTGGTTCGATGGACGGCGCCAAGACTTGCATGAAGTACCTCGCAGGCTGTTGTCCACTAGGAACGAGCTGTCCGAACAATCACCCGTCGGACCCAGCTGACATGGCAAGGTGGATACAGTACTTCAACAAGTTACCATGCAAGAGCGGAGCGAATTGCACCAACGACAAGTGCCTCTATGAGCATCCGAACAAGCCTACCTGGAACGGTGTGTACCATGCTGCGGGAGGCACCTCGTTATGAGCTTGTTCATTGTCGCGATGGTCGTTCATCCCTGGTGTAGATGCTAGTTGTCTCGCATCCTCTTTCTCCACCAGCAGGTGAGCAGGTGCTGTGATTGCGCGGCTGCTCGCAAGAGAAGGGCTGGCAATGAGCACGCTTGGTGTGCCAGAGAGTTGCGCAATCATAGAACAGTGATCTCTTGGGCCGTCCCGAGCCATCATAATCTGAGATGCCCCATCCTCAAGTAATTCGTGGGCGGCTTCAGCGGGGCATTAATAGCCAGAGGCTGATAAGCATTAGCAGGCAAGCGGCCAGGCAGACAAAGCAGCCAGCCACAGCAAGCCACTAGCATGCTAAGCAGGAAACGCGCAGGGGCACGGCCAATTGGCCAATTGAGGCACAGATGGCCATGAGTCAGACACAGCGCACTCTGGCGACCAGGAGGGGGCACTTCATGCTGGAACCAGCCAGGCCCTGGCCAGCGCCGCACCTGGAGCACCTGCTGCGGACACCTTCCCCTCTTCTTCCTCCTCACGCCTCCAGAGGGCCCCCCAAAAAACCAGAGCAGTCCCAGCACCTAGCTACAGTCACCCTGCTACCTTGAGGACTGCCACGGCAGAAACGAAGGAACTTACGGCCCGAAAACCAGATCCACTCCTCGGCCCACAGTGGTCCTTATTTCAGCGTCTTGGGTGCATAGACTGTCGATGCTCCCCTGCTCCTCCGCATCCGTCTCCGCCCCCTCCACCGCCTCCGTCGACAGCATTGCCTGATCAGGCAGTCGGTGACCCTCGCGCCCCCCCCTCTCCCCCTCCTCCTCCTCCTCCTCCTTCTGCCTCCTACGCTGGGCTCCTCCTCCTCCTCCTCCTATTTCTCCTCGTCGCCTCCCTCTTCCTCCTTGCCCTGCTCCCCCTCCTGACCAAATCAACCGGCGTTGACTGTTCTTCCGCGCTTCGATGCAGACTGCTTTTCGTGATTACCGAACCTGCCGAGCCCAAGCCAGGGTCGAGTCGAGTTATCCCCCTCCTCCACCTCGGGCGCACCATCCACCAGCACTACCTAGTCCCAACCACTGTGCTTGCAACAGTTTCCTGGGACCGCATGGTGGTCCACCTTGCTAACCAGGGCAAGACCTGCCCTCGATCGAATCACGAATCAGGGCAATGCCTCTCACGAGCACCGACTCGTCCAGGGCAATGCCTGCCCCCCACCGAAGAAGAGAACAAACGGCACAGCCGTACAGCACCGGAGGCCCGCGCGGAGGTCTTGGGTCGGCGCGTTGGGCCCCCCCCTGGCGGCGCCTCGGGCGCCGCACCTGGCCATCCACCGCGCGCCAGGGAGAGGGGCCCAGCGCCAGGCCAGGAGATCCGCGCGGACCTACGAGAACATTTGTGTGGGCCATGTCTCGCCTTCCTGCCCAAGGGCATCAGCAGCACTCGGCGGCGGAATCCGAAGTTCGCCCCTGCCGGTCCACGAGTCAGGCAACTCAGCGGCGCGGCGGTGGCAGAGCTTGGGATGCTTCGAGCGCGTGACGACATCCGAACTGCACCCCCGCCTCCCATCGAGTCAGGAGAATCGATCGGTCGTTGGGGTAGGATTCGGGTGTTACCACCTGAATGCACTATAGCCCTCCGCCTCGGCAGGCGGCTTGGACGCAGCCGCAGCCCGCGCAGGCCGCTGCAGCCAGCGCCTCCCGCGGGCCAGCGCGGCAAGCCCCGCAGCAGCTGCCAGGGCCCATGCCGCCGCGACCGCTGGAGTCGCCGCTGGCCGCGGGGCTGATGCAGCAGCAGGCCTCGGCCACGCGTCTGCGTGGGGCGCGGGATGATTCCGCGTCAGGACTTACACACATTCTTCAATTCTAAGTATTCGGAGGTTCTTTGGTTTTCTGGGGGGCCAAGATCATTTCATTTCTAAGTGTTCTATCCTGGGCCTCTTCCTGGCCACTAAAAAGCCAGGAACAATTAGAAACGAGCACGATTAGAAATGAACGACGTGTACTCATGGGAGAGAATCAAAGGAGGAGCATGGAGCACCGCCGCAGGAAACCCACCGGCAGGGGTCGGTCCCGCCCCGATCGGTTCTCGGCGGTTGTGGTCAGAGCTTTTTCTTGGAGAAAAGGTGCCAGTACCGCTACCGCTACCCTTCCCTTGTTGTCCCTTTTGGCCCGCCCGGGAGACCCTCGTCGCCACGGCTGAATTCGCCTCGAAGTTCTGGTCGGAACGCACACCAGGGGAGGTCCAGGGAGTAGGGGTAGCGGTATCGTTTGATCCCCCGTCTGTGTCACTGTCCTGCCCAGCCAGGGCCAGCTTGGGCCCCAGGATGTCCATGGCCTCGACCAGGACAGCGCAAGCGCCATGGCAGGGCCCAGAATGACTATGGCCGCGCAAGGTGGTGCTGGTGGTGTGCACCCGATGTGCCCTGTTCGTACAGCGGGAGGACGGTGATGCAGGGAGGTCTTCGACCCTCTATGGGCCTCCAGGAGAACCCGGGGAACGGAGGATCCAACATTGGGGGGATGCCTAGGGGGGAGGGGAACGGGCGCACGGGGAGGAACGACGTGTGTGGGCCTCTGGGGGGGGGGGGACCTCCGGAGGAACAGGGGCATTGGGAGGATCGAGGTGCACGGAGCGACGGGCAGAGAAAGAATGAGAGCAGCGAGGAGGTTGAGGAGGATGGAGGAGGGATGAGTACGAGGACGAAGAGGAGGAGAAGGAGGTGGAGGACGAGAAGGAGTGTGAAGAGGGAAGAGGGTGAAGAGGGAGGAGAGTGATTGGGAGGAGTAGAGGGGGATGTGGGATGAATGTGCGGGATGCCAGGAACAGAGAAGAGGATAATGCGAAAAGGGGGAGGACGCAGATCAGGGGGTAGGAAGCTGAGGAAAAAGACGAATGAGGAAGATGAAGGGGGAAGGCGAGAGGTGTAGCATGATAAGGAACGGATGAGGAGCAAGAGGAGGAGGAGGAGGAGGAGGAGGAGGAGGAGGAATAATATGTCGGCGCACTCAGCACACGATAAAGCTCAGGCGAGAGCAGCGACACCACATCATCTCTGCAGTGCAAGGCCCGGACACGTGGTAAGCAACTTCTGTTGCGCGCTTGCCCGCGTTGCCCAGGAGGAGGGCGGGGGAGATACTGAGGACGAGGAGGAGAAGGAGGGAGGAGGGGAGGAGACAGACACGAGGAGCTCGAAGGGAGGAGTGATCAGAATGGGGCAAAGGGAGAACGGAAGCAGACAAGAAAAGGGATCCTCAAACAAGGATGGCTTTGTGAACAATGAGTTGCAGCACCGCGCATCGAGCCACGGGGGGGGGTGGCGAAATGAGACATGGTGATGGTTTTGATTACTGTCGTGAGCGTTAGCCCTGGGTCGATGGTGTGTCTTTGGTGGGATGTTGAGGAGGGTGGATGCTGGCGGCGGAGGAGGCGTGTTATGGGAGAGCAGCAGATCAAGCACAGACGTCACAAGACATTGTGAGCTGAGAGAGGAGGGCAGAAGAGGTGGACGCAAGGCGGATGAGGAGCAGGGGAGACCGAAGAGGAGGGAAGACGACGGTGGGATCAATCTCACAGGAATCGATGTAGACGGGAAGCAGCAACAGGACGGAGGGGATGAGGAGGTCGAGCGTTGGGGAAGAGGCACAAACTGAGGAACGGAATATGAGCACGACTGAAGAGCAATCGGAGAGCAACACGTCTGGCAGGAGCTTAGTGAGCATAGTACTTATGCCTGAGGGTTGCGACAAGCGCTAGCCACCTCATCCTTTTCATAATCACGCTCCTCCCGCTAAGTT